TATACGAGATCGCTGCAAAAAGTGCAATCTTACCTAATGTCCACATACTGTTACTCATTTTATATTAAGATTTAAAAATCTAGTTGGTGTTGGTATGGCGGGTAACCTTCAGTAATAGTAATAAATCACACAGCAATAGTACATTCATGTAGTCATGAAAAGGATGATAATATATTAAGTAATCCAAAGTATTCAGTGTCAAATGACTTTGATTTCACTGCACTTCCCTCATCTAATAACTCTGCATTCACTCCAGCATACATCACAACTGTGACAAAAATTCTTTGTTGACTAATTATTTAATAACCCAGATTTTTCTCCACGTTTTTAATAAAGCCTGAATTAATAATCTGCCTGTGTCTCTCCCATGAGACAACTAGCCAATTGGCTGCCTCCAGGTTCCTTGATTTTTTTATTCAGAAAGCGTTCTTCTCTTTTGGCAATGTGCCGTGGAAGCAGGGAGTGGCTGAATTACTATGCGGTCACTCCCTGCATCTCCCTTTCATTCTAAATATTTTTCTAATCCCAGCATCCCATTAAATTATTCATCCAGTCAGATGTCTTCTCTGGCAGTCGATGGGTAATGAAGCTGCATCTGCAGTGCCCAAGATAGTGACTCATTAGATAGCTTCGCATCTGCTGTTCCCTGTTGAGCTTGGCTAAGCTATACACTTTCCCACTTAGGGTTTTTCTGTACTTATCAAATAGCACATGCGTCTGAGACATTATCATATTTTGTGTCCAAGGGTTCTAACCTCATTGGTCATATCTTTCATCCACATCTTCTAGTTAGCTTATTTTTAAGGAAAATCCAATCTGTGGACTTTAAATTGACTTGTTATTACAGTTTTTTTCCCTTTACCATTATATGTTGTTCCTCTTTTACGATCATCTAAAAATAATTTCCAAAAGCTGAACAGATGTTGATAATTCTGGTACCCTAAGCAATTTACGTAGTAAATTTAATCCAGATTGATTAATTAGAGAAGTTAGTGTATTTATGTATGTCTGTTCTCTATGATCAAATAATACGATATATACTGTCTATCCCAGCTATCAGAAGGCAAGAGGCAGGGTGCAAAACAGGTAGCTAGTCTATTACAAGGCTTCCATTCTCTCTTATGGCCAATTTAGAATTACCAGCTAGTCTAATATGTCTTTGTAATGTGGGAGATGTCGAAGCATCCAGAGGGAATACACGCTGTGTTCTTCCATTACAAGAACCTAGCCCTAGTTATGATCTTTAATCTTCAGTCTTAATCATTTAAGCGTATCCCTATAAACCTGTCGGTTCAGTAAACAGTACTTCAGAAAAAAAACGTTTGTTACATTTGCTTCCCTGTAAGGGAATCAGATGGATATTTCTTTCCATCCAAGTGAAAGAAATATCAGTGAAGCCCCACAGTTAATTCCATCAGCCCTGCAAGCATTTTAAACCTTGTGTTTTGGAATTCATAATATATACACAATACACTTGCATAAGCTTTCACTAACATGCTGGAAAATCATCTCTGTTGGAAGCAAACAGAGACAGAGGCAGAGACAGATGTCCTCACTTCCACACTCCTGCATACATTTATAAAAATGTTCTCTTATACTTGAACTCAGTCTTAAGGTTGCTCCCATTTGGTGTAATCGATTTATAAAAGATGCTTCAGGTTTTACGTAGGTTTGTCAGCAATACAATACACTGGTTATAGTCGAACATGTTAAAAATGTAATAATAAAACAAAACTTGTCCCACATACCCATCATTATGGTGCAGGAAGTCGTTGCAGCTCTCCTAACACAATATCGCCACATAAACTCTGATATAGGAGGAAAGGAAGTCAAAAAATTTTTTTTCCACAAACTCTCAGGTTTTCTAGCATCTCCCTCTGCCATTAAAATGGTGTTTGTCATGTCTGAGTGTGGGCAGGCAGGAAGAGAGGACCCAAAATGCAGGACTCACTGAGGCGGAAGTAATTCAAAACACACAGCTTTATTGCTGGTAAGAAGCAGAACAGAAAAACACTAACTAAACTGGAAGAACGGAATGAGTAGGCAGGAAGGCTGGCTGGCAAACGGAGCACACGGAGGAAGCGAGGGTAAACAGACGTTAACGATGCGACACCGAGTAGGGGAAGACACAGACACTAAATACAAGAGGTGAACGGAGCAAAGAGGAAACAGCTGGGAGACACGGCTGACCTTGATTACACTGACGAGACAGGGAGAGCACAAAGCTGAACGCACTGACAAAGGGCACAGACCTACAAAATAAAACAGGAAGCACACGCCTTGACAGAGACAGACTCGTAAACAGGCATAATGACGTCATGGACAAACAGAGGGACATACGGGCAGAGAAGACTAAGCACAGGCAACCTAAACCAAACATAAGGGCAAGATAACAAAACCTAAACCAGAAATAATCATCATCAACATCATCATCAGATAACTAAAGAATCAGAATATAATTGTAATCAAAACAGTATCACCAGAGAATAACTAATCCATAATGCAAAATAAACCAAAACATAAGAAACTCAAAATACTGGGTCGACCCGACCCAGGACCGTGACAGTGTTAAAAACGGACACACTCACGTCTTCAACCCAGCTGTGGTGCAAAAACGACCGGTTGAAGTGCCACAAAAACTGTGTTGTACAAGTATGTGCAAGTATGTGCCATTAGACACCATGCTTTTAAGGTTATAAGAGCTGGGTGCAATAACCTCAATTTTATCTGAATTTAGAAGCAGGAAGTTTCTGGAAACTTCTGCCACTTGTATTGGCAATCTCTGTTTAAGTAATAATAATAATGGATTGGATTTATATAGCACTTTTCAAGGCACCCAAAGCGCTTTACAATGCCACTATTCATTCACTCTCACATTCACACACTGGTGGAGGCAGCTACGGTTGTAGCCGCAGCTGCCCTGGGGCAGACTGACAGAAGCGTGGCTGCCATATCGCGCCATTGGCCCCTCTGGCCAACACCAGTAGGCGGTAGGGTAAAGTGTCTTGCCCAAGGACACAACGACCAGGACAGAGAGCCCGGGGATCGAACAGGCGACCTTCCGGTTATAGATACGCTTCCCAGCCCCCTGAGCCAAGTGAAAGTGAAGGAACATATATTGACAAGTAAATCATCAGCTTTGCTTTGCCTTTACCACAGCAGACCGATACAGTGTCCACATCAACGCTTATGACTCATCAATCCATCTCTTGCTCCTCTCTCCCTTCACTAATGAACAAGACCCTGACATCCTTAAACTTCTTCACTTGGAGCCGTAACTCATTCCTGACCCAGAGTGAGGCTCAACATTTTTCTGGTTGAGGATAACAACCTTAGACTCGAGAACACATCTGCTAAATTGCCCTAGTGCATGCTGGAGGTCACTAGCTGGTGAAGCAAGAAGAACTACATGTCCACATGTACGAAGAACATGAACCTGAGGCCACCGAAGGAGAAATGTTCTCCTACTTGACTGTGCCAAGAAATTGTACCCATAAAAGTTATAAACAGAATTGGTGACAAATGGCAATCCTATGGAGTGTAGCTCTCACTTTACTACCAGCAATGCAAACCAATCTCACTACAGTATTACAGGGACTTTATTGCCAGTATAGGCCAGTCACCATGTCTCCCATAGGATACTCCGAGGTACACGGTCAGTTGCCTTTTCCAAGTCCACAAAACACATGAAGAGTAGTTGGGTAAACTCCCATGCACTTTCTCATAACCTTGAGAGGATTAGTCCAGTGTCCCACAACTAGGACGGAAACTGCTTTGCTCTTCCTGGATCCAAGATTCCACTAGTGGACAGATTATACTGGCATAGAGCTTCCTGGAGAGACCGAGGAGTGTGTTTTCTCTGAAACCTCTTGAAAATGGGGACCAAATCACCTGGTCTGCCAGTGCAGAGGCAATATCCCCAAATTCCACACAGTGCTGCAGAGGTGTGTCATTGAAGACAGCCCTACAACATCCAGAGCACTGTTTCCTGGTGAGGGAACAGTGAATCCCTTCCCTCCCCAAAGACCCGTCAGCATAGAGGTTTTTGACCATTCCAGTGACCTCACCCACAGTGATGGGTGAGTCTAAGCATTTCTCCCTAGACTCAGCTTCCACTACACAAGATGTGTTAGTGGAATTGAGGAGATCATCAAAGCTTCATCCCCTTTCTGAGTCGCCTGACGATATCCCAGAATTGCCTCAAGGCCAACCAGAAGTCCTGCTCACAGTCCTGCTTTAGCTAGTGCTAGGGCTGCCTTTCACTTGGCCTGTCTACAAGAGTCCCACAAGCCAGCCAAGTTTGATAGGGCTCCTTTAGCTTTATAGTTCTCTTCATCTCTGGCATCCACCATCTGTTTCAGGTATTAGCACTACAACAGGCACCAACCACCTTGCAGCCACAGCACCTTGGTTTGGAACAAAGTCCACTTGGACTCAATGTTTCCAGCCACCCTTAAGCTACTTTGAAGCTCTGCTGATGGTGGAATATGAAACTCTTGCAGACCAGGGCCTTCTCCAGATGCTCCCAACTCACCCTAACCACATGTTTGGATACACCAAGTCTGTTCAGCATCCTCCCTTGTTACCTGACCCAACTCACAACCAGGTGCTGATCAGCTGACAGCTCTGATCCTCTTTTCACCCAAGTGCCCAAGACATACAGCTACAGGTCTGATGATTGCTAGACTCTTCATCAACCTGTGACCTGGGGTGTTATGGTGAAAAGTGGACTTGTGTACAGCCTTATACTCAAACATGGTATTTGTTGTTGCCCATTCAAACATTTACGTCTCTCCTTCAGCAATTTAAAACTATATCTCTTATAAAACCTATAAGAGATATAGTTTTGATACACTATTATAGCAAATTATACCTTGTAAAACTTTTCCTTACTGTGTACCAAACTTGGGGTTGTTTGGGGTGTGGGGGCCTGTAACCCCTATAGACATGGTTACTAGTATTTTCTTGTTTTTACCTGGTATTATTATTTCTGACACCCCTTGAACACACTTTGATTTTCCGTAGTTCAGTGAATGCAACAAAAGCACGTTGCTGCATTAAGCTAGGCAAAACGGAGCAAGACACCGAGAGCAAATAACAAGCTACACAGTGAGTCTTTTGGTATAAAATAAGTGTTATAAAGTATTTTCAACAGTCTCTAACTTAAAGTTATGTACTTTTCAGAGGCCTTTATGTGTTTTACTCTCGACCAAAACCAGGCAGAGCGTGTATTTGTTTCTTGGGAATTCCGGTGAGTTACTAGAGATGATAAGTTAGCAGGAAAACTTATGCTAATTTTACATGTGGTAAACACTGCAACAGTGCGAATTCCGTATTGTCTAAAAAAAGCTAAAACCAGTCGGAGTACTTGAATCGTGTGTGAAATGGAATGTCGTATTTTATTTTATTGTCTATTTGATTGGGCATCTTCACAAATGTGCAAAACTAATGCAGGATGCACTTCTCTTTTAGCCATAAATGTTGTCCAGTGCCTTTTCTGCACTTTGTCATTTCAGTTATAGGTTAATACATGTAAATAAGTTATTTAAAACTAGTTACGTTACAAACATTTCATGATGTGATTACATATGCCTTAAAAAGGGGTATTTAAATACAATTGATTGTAATGCTGTAAAGCAATACAAATGGAATTCATAGAGACAGAACAATGTTAAAACGACAGTGTACTTGATTTTGAAAACTTTATGAGATCTCATGTTATTTAGAAAAACTGTTAAGAACTATTTTGTTTATTGCTCTGTACTGTATGTGCAGACTGGTTTTTTGTGATCCTGGATCTGAAGTGGTTCTGGATATGGATGGCGAGCCAGACCCTGTGAAAACTCTTGGCGAATCCAAAAGCAGTGTGGCCAGCTGTTCTGGATGCAGGAGTAGAGCTACAGTCTGAATTACTTCGAATCGCAGGATTTCAGATAAGCAAGAGCAAAAACTGCTTACTTCATACGGATTGTTTCTCTGGGAAACTATTGAACTCCCAATATCCTGCTCATCAGGAGTCAGGTCTAAAGAGACTACTTTTTTATTTTGTTGTTATTTTCAAAAGAGCGCTCTTCTCTGTTGATCTTCTGTTAATTTTCTATGCTGTTTACATTGGATTATTGCACCACTGTAACATTGTAATAAATCTGCCGGCTGTTCAACACTCAATTCTCTCAAATTTATTTTACTCCTCTCGAATCTAGTCTATAAGTTTAACCCTACTATACTAAGCAGGTGTTACAGGGCCTATCCCTCTTATTATAGTACAAAGAGCTGGGTCCACCTGAACCAGTCCTCAAACTGGTGCATCACAAACCCAACACAGTTACAGATACACTCACAACTCATTGTTTCTAAAGTTCATTAAATTCCATCACAGGTTTGGACTCACTGATCCTACGTGGACAAAATTGATTTTTAATCACACTTTGGTAAACAATTATATTGATTATTACAGATAATAATGAACCCTTAGTAATGCTGCAGTTTATGTCTGTGTCATTAGTGTGTTTAAAGAATGTGCTAAAAATTATTATATACAGATAAGACAAATGAGAGTGTTACCCTTTGATGCCTGATGATGGTAACTAGTTTCAGTCTGGACACACCTTTACAATGGCTACTCACATTTCAAGGAATAACAGAACAATGGCATAAGCACAGAATGGATAATAAGAGTTAAATATTCCAGCAGTTACTGCAGTGCAATTATTTTTTTCAGTTCATCCTGGGTATACTTGTCAACCTGCGCATTTCCAGGTGTGTATGCCCCAGGACAGCTGTGGCTACAACTGTGGTTTGCCTTCACCAGTGTGTGAATGTGAGAGTGAATGAATAGTGGAATTGTAAAGCGATTTGGGTGCCTAGAAAAGCGCTATATAAATGCAATCCATTATTATTATTATTATTATTATTAGTGTATGTATGTGTTTCTCACTGTTTGCACTGTTGTGCATCCATTTATCAGCTGTGTGCTTTAATGTTAGTATCTGTGTGTTGCTGTGTTGGCTGCCCAACAGCAGAAAGCAGCTATCTAAATATAGCTGCAGCTCAGGGCTCACAGAGGAAGGCCCTTCACACATCCAGGGATTAACCATTACTCTGTCTGACTCACACAAAGACACGCACTTAGACACTCCCACTCTAAACACAAACGTACAAGTATTTGATGCACACACAGTATGCATAGAGAAGACATACACATAAGTGGCTGTCACACTGAAGGACTGACGTTAAGTAATTTTATAATTTAGTTAATTAATATGTAGATAAAATGAAAAATATTCCAATAATGAATATCTACGAGGACCAAAATAAAAGTGCTAACAGAAATGAATGTTAAAAATTAGGTTTATAAAAAACAGAAGACCATCTTTTCCTCTTTACGTCAACAGTGTAATAGATTACACTCAAGGTTAATTTGAACAAACGAGGGCTATATATTAAATTAATGTTTTTAAAATTGATGATCTAGAAGGTACGACAATAGCAAGGAAGAATGGCAACATCAGGTAGTAGTGAGAAACATTGGACAACACCTTGGCATATTTAGTAATGCTAGAAGGAAAATACATCTATCAGTTCTTTGGCTTTACATGTGTATCAGGACATAATAAAAATAATTTGGTCTTAAAATGATTTAGATACATCAGATGAAAAACTGCAGATGACTAATTACTCAGTCTAATAATTTAATATTTAATATAAACTAAGTCAAACACTGATAGAAATTCAATTGTCCATTTGCTGCTGTGCTTGTCCAGCTGCATGACCCAATTTTAGCCAAGCTTTAGATGTCAGACAGATGGGCTCACATTTGACTCTAGAATACTTTGGAGTCTTGTGACTGCAAAACAAGCCCAAATCATCACCCCTCCACCGTGATTGAGAGTTATGATGAGGTGTTTGAATTCATGCTACTGTACATTATGGCCAAAAATTCAGTTGAATTTAATTTTTATTTATATTGCGCCAAATCACAACAACAGTTGCCTCAAGGTACTTAAGCTAGTAATAATAATACAGAGAAAACCCCAATAATCAGATGACCCCCTTTGAACAAACACTTGGCAACAGTGGGAAGGAAAACAGGAAGAGATCTCTGGCAGAACCAGAACCTAATTCCTATAGAACAGTAAAGGTTTACTTAGTTTTTACACACACTGTTAAATAAATAATGACACCCCCATCACCCTCCTCCCCCTCCCTTTCTCCCTCCTCCCCACACCTGAAATTCACTGAAGAGATGATGGAGCGGGTCAATGCTGGGCTCAGATCTACCCCCCGGCCCAATCCCTCTTTGTCCCCCATAAACCCCCCACCAAAGCAGCCAAAGGTTCGCCACCGAGCCCACCCTCAACAGAGCAATCGAAGTCACATTGCCCAGCCTCGCCCCCTTAGTTCCTCCTTACCACCTTCATGCTTTGTCTCCGCAGTCTGATATGTGATGTGTGGAGGGTCCGGGCTGCGAGGATTATGGCAGTGGTGACTTTTCCCAGGAGAAGCTGGGACCCTGTTTACTAGAAGGTTTTAAAATTTCTGTACTTTTAGGTGACAGAAGGAGACATGTGGCCTGGTCAAAACACAGAGAGCTGCACTCTAAAAGATCTTTAAATATAGTAAACATACCTCGTGTGCCACAGACTGCTCCCAAACACGAGGGGACAAGTAATGCCTCTAAAACACTTAAGTTGGCTTTATTAAACGTTAGATCTTTAGCTGGGAAAACATTTTTAATTAATGATTTAATTACTGAGCACAGCCTTGATTTTATGTTTTTAACTGAAACTTGGTTGGACCAAAATAACAGTGGAGCTGTTCTCATCGAGACGACCCCTCCTAACTACAGTTTTATCAGTGAGGTCAGGGTGAGCAGGAGAGGAGGAGGGGTTGCTGTCTTATTTAATGAATCATTTCAATGTAAGCAGCTATCTCCTGGAAGTTTTCAGTCTTTTGAATATGTGGCTTTACAGCTGAAGGCCCCATCCAAAGTTGTGTTTCTTAATGTTTACAGGCCTCCCAAATACTGCACAGACTTTTTTAATGACCTCAGTGAACTGCTGTCTGTGATCTGTGTTGATCTCGACTGTGTAATTATTGTTGGGGATTTTAACATCCATGTGGACAACCCTCAGGACAAAGGGACTAAAGACCTGAGTAACATTCTGGGCAACTTTGGGCTGACTCAGCATGTAACAGAGGCCACACATAATAGAGGACACACTCTCGACCTACTGATCTCCAAGAGCCTGAGCATTTCAAACATTACTGTGTCTGATGTGGGCTTATCTGATCATTACTGTGTTTTCTTTGAAAGTAAAATCTCAGCCCACACAAATATATCAACAGCAGTGATCACAAAACGGTGTATAACTGAACACAGTAGTGAGATCTTTAACCAGGTCTTCCCATTAACACCTGACCTGTCCAAAGGTTCAGTCAACGAGCTCGTCAATAGCTTTAATGCAAAAATGTTAAATGTAATGGACACTATTGCCCCCATTAAGGTGAAGGTTATCTCTGGAAGGAAAAAGTCTCCATGGAGAAACTCCACACTAGTGAAAAATGAAAAAAGAGAGTGTAGGAAAGCTGAGCGCAGATGGAGAAAAACAAACCTCCAGGTTCATTATGACATCTATAAAGAGAAACTTCCATCCATCCATTCGCTTCCGCTTATCCTTTTTCAGGGGCGCTGGAGCCTATCCCAGCTGTCATAGGGCGAGAGGCGGGGTACACCCTGGACAGGTCGCCAGTCTGTCGCAGGGCCAACATACAGGGACAGACAACCATTCGCACTCACTTTCATTCGCACCTAGTGACAATTTGGGTTATCCAATTAACCTATCCCCACTAAGTGCATGTCTTTGGACGGTGGGAGGAAGCCGGAGTACCCGGAGGGAACCCACGCAAACACGGGGAGAACATGCAAACTCCACACAGAAAGACCCCGGCCTGATGTTGGAATTGAACTCAGGACCTTCTTGCTGTGCGGCAACAGTGCTAACCACCGTGCCACCGTGCTGCCTAAAGAGAAACTTCACAATTGTAATTTACAACTGAGGAGTGCAAGAAGGTCCTACTTCTCTGACATCATCACTAAAAACAGCCATAATGCTCGGGTCTTATTTTCTACAGTTGACAGGCTAACAAACCCTCCTGTGCCAGTGGCAGCTGAACTTCATTCAACCATGGCCTGCAATGACTTTGCCAAATTCTTCACAGACAAAATCCAAAAGATTAGACAAGCAGTTGGTACATCAACAGCAGATCCAGGATATGTACTGTGTCCACCGAAAAACTGTTTAAACACCATGAAACAGTTTCAACCTATTAACAGCAAAGACCTGGAGGACATCTTAGGTCAACTGAACTCCTCCTCTTGCTGTTTAGATGTCCTGCCAACAAGTTTTTTCAAAAAGGTCTCAAAGACTTTAGAGTCAGACCTGTTACAGATCGTCAACTTTTCTTTATTATCAGGTGTGTTTCCAGAATCACTAAAAACTGCTGTAATCAAACCTATACTGAAAAAGGACAATCTTGAAAAGACACAAATGAACAACTACAGGCCGATCTCAAATCTCCCATTTTTAAGTAAGATCATTGAAAAAGCAGTTTCTCAACAGCTCAATTACTTCTTAAAACAGAATAACTGCTACGATGCCTTCCAGTCAGGTTTTAGACAGAACCACAGCACTGAAACCGCTCTGACCAAAGTGTTTAATGACATATGTCTGAACACAGACAGTGGAAAAATGTCAGTCCTAGTTTTACTGGATCTCAGTGCAGCATTTGATACAGTTGACCACAACATATTACTCAAACGACTGGAGAACTGGGCAGGTCTTTCAGGAACTGTACTAAACTGGTTCAAAACATACTTAGAAAACAGGAAATACTTTGTATCAATAGGTAACTTCACATCTGAGCAGACAAGTATCACATGTGGAGTTCCCCAAGGTTCCATCTTGGGACCCCCTCTGTTTAACATTTACATGCTCCCACTGGCACAGATTATAAAGAACAA